TTCAGAAGGGGAAAGATGAAAAGGATAGAAGTGGAGGAATAGTCTGGAAATGACAGGGAGACAGAAAGATTATGCTGTGCTAGCGTTATCCTCTGGTCCTTTGAACTTAGAAGTGGGACAAGTGATCATGGGAGGGTGGGTTGCAATAGGTGCAGTATCCTCAGAGAAGGTCTAGGTTTCACTTAAAATGAGTCAAAAGGAATGCTGGTTTAAAAAAGCAAGGATGTAGGGAGATGGTTGAGAATAAAACTGAGATCTGAAGGGGATTCATAACATGGGTTAGGGGAAGAGCAAACCAGACTGGAATGGGCCTTAGAGAAAAGCTATTTATAAAATGATTCAGGAGTTGAGAATCATGGGTATTCAATTTGAATATCCTGAAAGACTGGAATTAATGATACAGTGCAATGGGATATAAATGAGTGTGGCATACTACACAGTACAACAGAAGAGTCGCATCAGAGTTTGAAGTCAACTTTGAAATGATGTTTTTAAGTATACCTACATGAAATCTTATTTCTGTTGGTTTCCTTTAGCTAATAATATTAAGCAATAATACCTAGCAATATTAAGGTCCCGAGTTTCTAGTCAGAGAGAACTGATATGGATGATTGACCCTGAGACCTGCATTAAATTTTGTGGTTTAGTCATTTTTTCAGTCATCTTATTCTTCATAACCACTTTTGGGGTTTTCTTGGCAAAAATACTAAAATGGTTTGTCATTTCCTCTCCCCTGCTCATTTTACAGATAAGAAAACTGAAGCAAATACAGTTAAGTGACTTGCCCAGGGTCACTTAAGTAGTAAGTGTCTGAAGCTGAATTTGAACTTAGGTGTTCCTGACTCTAGGCCTGACACTATCTCCTTCACCATCTCTCTGCCCCTGTATGAGATACCAATACTCAATTGGTTTTGGTACTTTTGCTTTAAAACCAGACCCATTTTGACACAAAAGCTAGGTCATATAAGATAAAACTACAAGTTTGTTATGAGGAAAAAACAAAATCATTTAGTTACTGAGGATGATTGTAGAGTGGAATGAGCACTGACTCTCAAAGTCAGAGGATGTGGTTTCAAATTCTGTGGATGACAGTTATTACCTCTGTGGCTTTGCCAAGTCACAGCTTCACTCGACTTTGATCTTATGATCTTGGAGTATTGAGATAATTATTAAAGGTCCATCAGCACTCTCACCACAAACCTATATCTGAAATATAATTCCAGGGACAGAGAAACTGCTCATCACTTAAGGCATCTTCACTGAATACATAGCTATGTTTTAGCATCTCATTGTTAGTGTTTAGCCTTGTATTTTATGCAGGAGTCCCAGAGGTAGAATTTATTCAGTCACACGTAGCGTTTGTCCTAGATTCATATCCCACAGCCATAAATAAGTTTGGACATTGTCCTTACTCTACGGACCCTTGATTTCACCTAAACCACAGGTCAGTAACTTATTAGTCCTCAGGGCCAACATTGGAGATGAGAAATTAGTCTGAGTGCCATTGGGTGACACTTGCAGAGGGAAGGAGAAAGGGAGAAAAATAAAACAGAGAGATGGAAGAGAAGGGAAAACAAAAAGGCAAGGGACACATTAATGGAAAGGGAATAATGTGGTATTGAGTGGTGCACATCTTGATCACGTATGAAACTGTTTTTATACATATTTTTATGATCAAACTCACAAAAAAACCTTTTGATTTTCCAAAGTATATTTTCTTTGACTGATCTTTATAATACAGAATTTGGTACCTAACTTTAACATTTACTCTTTCCTGTACTTGAATTTGATGTCTTTTGGAAGGAAATAGATTATGTAGCAAATAATGATGTATTTTAAATTCACTGCTAGTATTTCCTAGAAATGTGTCTAACATTTGTTTTTAAAAAATAATAATCTCTTTTGCGCATGTAATTGGAATTGACCTTCTCTTAATACTTCTCTTTTGCCACTAGATTTCAAAACCAGTACCATTTCCAGAGACCTAATACTGGAACCAGGGACAGAAATGTGTCTACAAGGACAAGAAGTAGAGAGCTAAAGGGACAGGAAGAGAAGAGAAAGAAGAGGACAGAGGGAGGAGAGAGAGAGAAAGAAAGAGAGAGAGAAAGAGAGAGAGAGAGAGAGAGAGAGAGAGAGAGAGAGAGAGAGAGAGAGTTGCTAAAGGTGAGGAGGAAAAAGACAGACAGCTGAGAAAAGGAGAAAAAGAAGAGACAAAAAGGGGGAAAAGGATGGAGAAACAAAAGAATTGACTGAAATCACCACATCACCATAGCTTTAGTGTTCTTCTTATATGTAAGCTAAATGGGAAAGAATAAAAATTTTAAGAGTTTTAAAAAGCAAATCTTAATTCTTAAATATGATAGTTTCAGTCTTGCTAAGTACAAATGTGGGTATTTAATAAAAAAATTATCGTAGTTTTAATATTTTTGACATTTTGATATTGAAATAGATTGCATCTTTTTATTTACAAAATTGATTAAAATGTAGCATTCTCTCAGGGTATTCAATATATAAGAAAAATGAAGCAAATTTCTGCCTAATTACATGCATATCAGCATATCGAAGGACTTTGGGTGCGCAATAACATTTATTAAGCTTTACATAATCCTTATATCAGAAAATTTTCCTTTTAACAGCGTGTGTCCCAAACATTTCTTAAATGTTTGAATTCTCTTCCTAGCTCTCAATAGTCCATAATTATGATGTTTTCCTTTTTTTCTTTCTTTGAAGAATACATGGGCTGGAATTTTGCCTCAAGAAGCAAATTTATTCATGTTGACATCAAGTTAAAATGATCTGGTTGATATAATAAAATAGTGTTGATAACATTTCTATATAAGCTAAAATTGTTATTTAGGCTGTATTTCAACTTCTGCAACAGTGCAGATACCTTTTAATGAGAAAAATATCACAAGGTGTAATAGATCTGTAAAGTTCTGACAATGATGTTTCATTCCTAGTCTTTACATACAGTATGGAAGCCAGCAGAGAAGGCAAACCCTTAAGAAGCTTGACTTTCTTTACCCAATGTTTCGCAAACATTAAATTATTATGTATATACAATATATGGTAGGTTTTAAAATGTATGGGATTATAATGTATAACTACTGAAGAATGGAAATGTTATTACTGTATATTAAATTTAATAGCACATCTTTCTCTATCATCTTTTCCATTAACTTTCTGTCCCAATCCAATATATGCCTACTATGTGCTAGGCATTGGAGTAAGCACTGAAGGTAGAAAGACAAAACTGAATGATTCTTGCCCTCTCAAAACTTACATTCTCCTAGCATCCTCTAGTCCAAACCCTTTTATTTTACAGTTGAGAAAAATGAGGACCAGAGAGTTTATTTGACTTCTACAAGGTCACATGAGTAACCAGAGTGGCAGAGTCAGGTGGGCAAAGCACCAAGCTCTCCATTTTCCTTCACCAACACATTCCCCAAAATAATAAATAAAACCTCTCCCTTATTATGTTCAAAAGGTCTGTATTTATTTGAAGTAAGTAGTCTGTAAGTAGGCTGTTAATGACACAGGTCCCTAAGTGACTATAGGAGCTGCATGCCCAGGACTAGCAACTATATGTAGGAAAGAGAGTTATTGATAGTTTCTCATATTTCTAAGTAGTTCATACCTTTAGTCATGTTCCCAAATGAGCTTTTTTTCATTGCCATAAAATCAGATTTATAGCTGCAATTGACTTTAGTGAGTATCTAGTCCAGTCTCCTCATTTTACAGATGAGGAAACTGATGCCCAGATAAGTTATTTGACTTTGCTGAAGCCATAGAGGTGGCAAGTGGACCAACTGGGATCTGAACCCAGGGCATCTGACACCAGAGCCAATGTTCTTTCCTGTATTTTTCCTTACACTAAAATTCAAGAAGGAGGGCATTCCTCACTCTGAAGGTTTGTCCTAATCTATTTTGGGGATAGACAGATAGTTAGATAGATAGATAGATAGATAGATAGATAGATAGATAGATAGATATAGGTATATAGAGATAGATCTCTCACTCTGTCTCTCTGTGTTTCTGTCTTCATCTCTGTCTCTGTATACATACATATATACACACATACATGTACATATGATTATACATACATATGTGTGTGTGTATCCAAAATAGATTAGGCATGTGTGTGTATATCTTTGGCTCTTTATAATTTATAATATGGAGAGTGGAGTTTTAGGGCTGATGAGAACCTTTAAAATCAAAATTATATACCCTTATCTTTCAAGTGAAGAAAAATTAAGACCAAAGTCAAAGAGTTAGTTACTGGACAAACCAGGACTAAAATCAGATATCCTGATTCTTAGCCTAGGGATCTTTCCAACACTTCACCTAATCCATTCAGTTTCACAGAGTACGTATATTTAAATTTCAACATATTTTTTAGAAAAATGAAAATGTTCTACAGAATAGAAATGCAAAGAACTTCTACATTGTGTTGGGATCCATATTACTCATGTCTAAATCCATCTTTGATAGTAAATTGGTTCTTCAAAATGTATGGGATTCCAGTATATTTCAGAAAAAAGGTCTCATTCTGCCTTCTCATGAGAGTTGAAGGGAATTTATAAAACTATTGTTTTTCTTTTAATTATTCTATTATAGGATTTTGAAGTTTAAACTATATACTAAATTTCTTTTAAAACTAACATAAGCAAAAGAAAAACAACCAAGAATAAAATTCTTTAAAATTATGTCAAGCTTTTTTCCCAAGTAAAACTTTTGGAGCACTTACATTTTCAAATGTTGAAATAAGTTGCAGACTTTAATTATTCTTATTGTATAATGTAATGATTAATTAATTCAAAATGTTGTATCCATTTTAGAATATATTTATTTTTAAAATGTATAAATTGTAAAGTTAGGAAAAAAGCATTTTGCCTTTTGATGATACTTTTCCAGGCCCATTATTCCATATATCTTTTACTTTTAGGAAATGCTAAATGTCCTGTTTTTTTTTCCTGTCTTGTTCATTGGACAAACAGGGGTAGATGGTCCCCCTCCCTAGATAGGCGAAGACCTACTAGTCCCAGGATTCAAATCCAGCATGCATCTCCTGAGGATGACAGGTACTAGTCAATTCCTCCTAATGGAAAAGTCACCTACAAAATTTGTATGCCACCAAATTGGATATATTGGAATTAAGTTCATTACATGCTTACTGCCAGGAGCTCAGAGAAAATCCTTGTGATTCCATCCCTGACTGCTTCCCATTATTATATAGCACCTCAGAATGCTCACTTAACCCAGGCGGGCATTCAGTGACACTATTCAGAATACCACGCTGTCAAATGAACCATGTATTTTTTACATTTTGTTGCAAAATATTTTAATATTAATTTCAGTGCTAAAACAATCTTTAAACATCAACCATGTGTGTCCTCAGGTGCTTTATAATACCTTAATTTCTGCTGCAGAGTCTGTTTCTTTTATTCTTCAGCGGTGAATCAGTCTCAGTCATCTCATTTCTCAGAATTATTGTTGATGAGTTCTGGTGTGTGAAAGAGAGAGGCTCTGTGACATTTACCGTGCAATAGTTGGGAGTGACATATTTCATATTTTCACCTTTTTTAAGTCCAGACTTGTACAGGGTCAATTTTGCTGGCAAACTTGGTTTGGCCAAACGATGCCATTCATTTTCTGCTGATGCCCACAGGTCACAACATCTTCCATTGCTTCCGGTTTAGTTTTGTTATCCTTCTTCCAATCCATTTTTGGACCTGTTGTACTATTTTTAATATTCATTGAGTTGAATATGCTGATAGTTTGTAATGTTAGACTTGTTTTCTTTTTAGTGTTGGCAAAAATTTAATCAGTTCCTAAAATGTAAATCAAAGGTCAGGTCTTATTGAAAACTTTAACTAAATTTGATTCAGGGAAACTTATGATTGCATATTTCCTGCCAAGAAATATTATTCATTATTTTGTGCTTGATTTGTTTGATTTTAGGGTTTTCAGTTATCAATAAACTTTCCTTTGAGATACCAATTAGAAAAGTTAAGGTGTATGTAAGAGGAGAAGGAGAAAATGATATACTCTTTTTCTGATATCTAAAATAGATGGAAAAAAAGCATTTAAAAAAATAGTTCAATTATACCCACATGGCTATTTTAAATGCAATTTATCCAGTTAGACAATATGCAAAATTAATTTTATCATCGTTCACTGTCTAAGGAAACTTATAATTTTAGATACTTTGAGACTCTGGGTTAAGTTTTCTTCAAATGTTTAAGAAGTATTAAACCTTTTCTTTTCCCTTTGAAAATGCTTTCTCAAGCAAATGCTTCCAAAAAAAAAAACTTAATCTGTATGGGTATTTCCGCTATTAATCAGTCAATCCACAAGCATTAGGTGGGTGGTATAGTGAATAGAGTGCTGGACCTGGAGTCAAGGAGGCCTGAGTTCAAATCCAGCCTCAGACTTTACTAGTTGAGTGACCCTAGGCAAGTCATTTAACCTCTGTTTGCATCCATTTCCTTGACTGTAAAATGAAAATCATAACAGCACCTATCTCCCAGGTTTGTTTTGAAAATCAAGTGAGATAATATTTATAAAAAAAACACGTAGCACAGTACCTAACATACAGTGAGAGCTATATAAAGCCTTAGCCCTTTCCTTTCCCACTAAATGTATTACCATAAAACAGGCACTGCACTAGGCTTTAGATGGGGGGCAGCACAGAATTAATAAAATGATTCCTATTTGCAAATATCTTATTTTCTAATAGGGGAGGCAACAAGCTTACACACATACATACACACATACATACATACATGTATATACATACACATATATTGCATGTATGCATATAAAAGAGAATAAACATATGTACATAATATAAAGAGAATAAATATAAATAAAAGAAAGTTAGAGAGGCAGGGCACTAACAAATGAAGAGACTAGGAAGAGGTTCATGTAAAAAAGTTGATGTGAGCAGAGAGTACATTCTGAGGCATTAATGTTAGCAGACTATAGCCTTTGTAGACTGTTTGCTAGCTATAGTCAGAGCAAAACAATAACAACAACAAAAACAAGCAAACAAAAATACATTATCCCAGAAAGGATTATATTATTCAAGGTTATGATGGCTCCTCAAAGAGGTGAAGTGACATAGATTTTGAGATAGAAGGGACCTTAGAAGTATATCATTTAATCTAAGACTATCATTTTAACTATGGGTAAATGACTTCAAAAGGTTAAGTGACTCACCTAAGGTCATATGGTTGCAATTTGAACCTGGTGGCCAGTCAGAATTATAGTGATACATTTCTTCAGATCTGGCTAAGATATTCTGCAAATGTTAAACAAGTAATGAAAAGTAAATGAGAAGTGGACAAAAGAATAAAATTGACACCAAATATTATAATTTTATTCAAAAGTTTAAATAATATAAATTAATTGCCACAACGGAAAAATCAAGAGAACCTGGAAAGCATTTTATACAGAAAACATTTAACTCACTTGTCAAATAGACAGAGAGGGTTGGCAAAGGTTACCTTTGTAATATAAACTCATTTGCAATATCTAACTAAGAACATAATAATTGTAGGCAGTTTGATACAAAGCACAGAGAATCAGTGGATTTTAAAACAAGTTTAAGGAAAATTTGACAAGATATCCAGTTAAGCAAGGATTTGAAGATAGAAGTAAATTGGAAAGATATGCAAAAATCAATACACCAAACTCTTCATTCGATCAACGATGGTCAAGCAACCACATATGGACCCTAACATCACAGTTCTGGCATTGTCAATAGAAGTAGAAATGGCACTAATGAGAACATAGATAAGATAAGATAAGCATCAGCCAAATTGGATCAAGAAGATATTTGCTGGACATGACATGATTTTGTGGGTATTGAGAAATCAATAAGCAATGTACCAAAGATATTCAAAAAACTCAGATTATATTAATACTTTAAAAAATGGCCAAGAGAACATCAATATGTTTACTCTCTCATATACACAAAAATTTCTATGGGTCATCTGTAAAAAAATTGAGAGCATCCTGATTGGGGAAACAATGAAGTGTTTACAAAGTAATATATAGCAATGGACTATATCTTTACACGTTACAACTGACTGGGAGATGTTAGGAATCATAGAAACCACTGTGCTTATCATGTATTGATTATTTTTTTAAATGCTTCAGTAAAAGAAAATGGTGATTTATAGGGTATTTTAAAATAATGTATCTCTCTTATTGAAATCATCCAAGTATTAAAAACATTCCAGATACCTTGAAAAATATAACTTAAATAATCCTGTTCAATACCTTCTGCTATTAAACATCAGGTGAGGCACAACATCTAGAAATGTGTGCTTGCCAAAGCTACTTTGGAGGAAATTTAGCATGGAGTCCGGGTCAAAGAAAGATTCCCTGTGGATGATGAAGTCTTCTAGATATTCCTCTTCACAGATAACATTGTTCAGATTGTTTTAAGTCCCAGTATATTGCAGAGATTCCTGAAAGAGATCTATACAGTTTGGCATGCCCATCCGTGAAGAAAACATGAATAGAGAATGTTCATTGCCCAGATTTCAGCATGTCCCACCAGCATGTATATGTGGGTCAGACAGTATCAATAGACAGTAAATAGAGCTAGAGGTGAAAAGAAAGAGAATAAGCTAGATTACCATCAGGAAATTGCAAAGCTTATTTAATGACTCAAACTTCCTATGAAACAAAGGCCTATCTTTTCAATACTGATACGTTCCTGGTAATGTGGTAGTTAAGTTAGAATACCATCACCTTCAAAGAATTACAATTCCAACATATTACCAAAAAGGAATGCCAAAGAGGGAAAAAGAGATGTCCTCATCAAACTGTATGATGGGAAGAAAAGATGGACTAGTCATGTGGTAGGAATAAGGAATGAGAGATGAAGAGTCAGAGTGCCCTGGCAATACCAGGAGAAAGCCAGGAAGGCATCCGGCACATTGGATGGAGCCCTGGAAGTAAATATGTGAGAGGACATGGACAGAAATTGCCCAGCAAGTGATTGGCATCACCAGTAAGAAGTTCCCAGCTGATTAGATCACAAATACATTTAAGCCCTGAGTATTCTGCAAAAAAAGAGATACGTCCTAGGCATCTCTTTTAAAATCCCATTTTACTTGATGGCAACTAGATAGTGAAGTGGATAGAGCATTGGACTTGAAGTCAAAAAGATCTATGTTCAAATCCTTAGTGTGTGACTCTGAGCAAGTCACTTAACTTTTACCTCAGTTTCCTCATCTATTAAATGGGGATAATAATAGCACATACCTTTCAGGGCTGTTTTGAGGATACAATGAGATGATATTTACAAAGAACAGTACAAACTTTAAAGGGATGTGTGTGTGTGTTGGCTATACAATTATTAGTTGACTGAATCTGATAAAATTTTACTTTACACGTTACACTGAGAGGTTAAGTCACTTGCCCACAGAGCAAGTATTTATGACCGACAGAGCTTGAACTCATACCTTCTTGACATTGATGTCTGCTGTATGTCCATTATATAATAAGTGCTTCTCATATTTTAGTTGTTTGGGATATAATTTTTTTTCACACACATAAAGTATATCTTCAGTAATTGATACAGCATATGTAAGAAAGATAAACTGATAATAGCGGTTCAAAAATGTTTTGCTATCAAAATTCACACTGTGCTTAAACACTTTGAAACACTTTATTTTATGCTTTCTAGTTATTCAGTATTTTAGTCCACTTTTTAAAAAATGATATTGAAAGAGGTCTCCCTTTCTTAGCCACCTTGAATTATCTATTGTATTTAACTTTTTTTTTAAGTAATGCTTTGGATATTTGTTAAGCACTGTTACAAATAAGGTAGGCATTTCTGACCTTGAAGTGTATCCTGGGTATTTGGTAGCTACACTGTTGGGGGGAAGAAGGGAAGAGAAGGCAGGGACATGAATTTGCAAGATGAAGGCAAGCCTTTTAATTTTACTATTTCAGTGGCAGTGTCCCCTTGACATAAATGCTATTTTTAATATGCTATAATTTACCCAGTTGAGAACTTGATGTTCTCAGAACAAAGATTTGCTGTGCAAATAGCTTTCTTTAAATTCCTTAAAGCTGCTGTAGTTTATATGTACTCCAGTTGTGTTTCTGCCTCTGAACAAAATGTGAGCCAACTTGCAATGCTTAAAAAGAATTTTTAAAAATATGAGTCAAACTATAGGAATTATAATTAGTATCATATACTTTGGGGAAATCAGTCATTAATTCTCTATTTTTTGATTGTCCCTAAATCAGGATGATGTACAGTTAGTAGACTGTTAAGTACAAGAATATCCTCAAGTGAAAATATAGATTATTTGGGGATATTAAGTTTTATTTTTTGAACTATATTCATTTTAGGGCTTCCTATGGTGCTTTGCATATATCAAGTGCTTAATAAATGTTGGGTGACTTATTTATTAACATTTTAAATGTTTTAAACTGTCAAGTTTAAATTATCCAGGACAAAACATTTATTTCTTTCCTAACACATTTGCAAATCTCTTTTGAACTTTTTGTTTGTTTGTTTTGCTTTGTTCTTGTTTTTGATTGTTTTCTGTTCGTGGAGCCATTGGCATAAATATTCTGGTCACAAAGATTTGGGGCATTCATCTATACAGTGGCAACAAAAAGTGTGTTTAGGGACAAAATGTTTTTGTGGGTAAATCCAGCTATAGGCTGAAAGTTGCTAGGCTCTAAGAAAGTTGAAGAGCCTGATGGAAAGAGGTAGAGATAAGAAGATAAGATCAAAATAATCTGGTTCATTTTAGCTTACTTATTTGGTACTTAAAATTAAACAGTGAGTTTACATAGCAAAAATTCTCTTGACCAGGTTCCATTCTGGTGGAATTTGTTTTATACATCAATTAGCTATGTCCACTCTCCACTTAGGTGCCAAGCACAAGAGCCCAGGACAGAGAGGGCCAGAGAACAAGTTGTTTTCAATGATTTGATGTGAATAAATTCACATTCATTGGCGAAAACAAAGTAGGATCTTTAGGCCTCATCAAATCACCTAAGTCAACATTTCCTCCCTGAGGGGGGAAATTGTTGGCTTTTGTATAGGTACACTCAATGTTATGAAGAAAAATTCTAATAAGTCATAATTATGATGCAATGTAATCACTTACTATGTATACCATTTAACCATTTCTCGTGCTTTTCATCATTCTTTGTGTCTAGATGCCACTGTTTTTAAAAAAAATATCCTTTATGTGCACAAAAGAAATGTGCCCTCTGTAAGGGCATCAGAAATAGTACTTGAGTATTTGATGACTGAATGTATACACATATGGTTTTGAAGCTTTTGATTGCATGTGGCCATCTTCATTGCATGTGACCATCTCTCTGTTTCTATCCATTATGTCCAAATCCAATTCCATGTTCCCCAAATTATGAAGGACCCGGATGTTGGAGTCTTGCATTCCCAAACAAGACAGTATAAGCCACCAAAGTGCTAAACCAGCAACAACACAGAGGTATCCTAATTTATCAGATTTTAGTTTCAATAAAAAATAATTATTTTATGGTAGGATTTGGTTTCTATTTCACGGGAATAGAAATGTCTATAATTTTTAGCATAATTTCCTCATCTTAGTATTTGAATGTTTTCAGCTGTTATTTTATTTCATGGACTAGATATGATAATTAATAGAGTTGTTCAATTTACAAAATATCATTAGTTTGTAAAATATCTTCATGTAATAGATTGCTAATCAGTTATTTATCAATAAATATAAAAGTGACAATTTGCAAGTAAGATCAAATTAAATTTGTTTCACATTTAAACCAAGTGAATTGCAAATAGTAATGTAGGAAAATGAAACTTAAAGGAAAACTAGATAGCATTTATGTCTTCATAAATTTAGGTTTGTTTAGGGAAGCCATGTGTTTGATGGTCATTAAGACTCTTTCCTTTTAAATATTTCTTACATTTTAAAATCTTTAAACTTTTCAGAATGGTTTTATCTACATTATCTTTTTTGATCTTTATAACAATTCTCTGGAAGGGCAGTTATTCTTCCCCTCTATACAGTTGAGGAAATTGAGACTAAGAAAGGTAACATTCCCAAGGTTATACAAGCTCATCATGAAAGAGTTGGAACAAGAATCAAAGTGTTCTGATACCTAATCCAGTGCTCTATGTGTTATTTTAGACATATGTCTATAGCCAAATATAATCTGCCCTGACTATTGTCAAGAACCAAAGAAACATTTAATATAACCAATAATACAAGTTTCACTTAAAGGAATTTATTATTTCATTAAAGTAGATACTCTCCCCAAGGGTACAGATTATATTCCATTTATGCCTTCTCATCCTGTATAACTCTTGTCCTTGTCCTCTAAATCCTCCACAAGAGGGATTCCAACATGCTCAAGGCCATCTTTTAATTTTGGCTTTTTTACCTCATATTTTGTCTATCCAACCATATATCATAATTTGTAAAATAGGAATTATTCATACATTTGCCATTCCTATGTGTATAGGTATATATATATAAGTATATATGGCTATAGGTATACATATATACATATATGTATATACATATATGTATATACTTATATATACACATCAATATACATATATGTATGTATACATACATATATTATATGCAGCTAAGTAGTGCAGTGGATAGAATACCAGGCCTGGAGTTCAAATTCAGCCTCAGACATGTACTAGCTATGTGACCCTGGGCAAGTCACTTAACCCTTTTTGCCTCAGTTTCTTGATCTATAAAGGAGAAGGAAATGGCAAATCTCTCCAGTATCTTTGCCAAGAAAACACCAAATACATTCACAAAGATTTGAACACAACTGAAATGACTAACAGCAGCATGTATTTAGCCAGATCAAATTTTTTCAAGTTATAACAGATCTTGTTTTGGAGGCCTCAACAGCACATTTATTCCATCATGATATTCTGCAAATAGGTATCTGGAGAACCTGATCGTTCTTAGGAAAGGCCTTTTCCATTTTTTGACATTATCATGGAGACACTTTGTCAAGGGAGAGCCTTCAGTCAATGAACTAGAAAAAAAAAGGATCCTGAGGAAAGTTCAACAAGTAACTCAAATTAGCTATCTAAAAAACATATAGGGTTGGGAATGGGACAAGCAAATAACATGTAGAAAAGACTTGTAAAGGCGTATGTAGCAAACCTTTTTTTTTTTCCTCATCCCCAATATTTGAGTCACAGTGTTTGAAATCTAACAGCACAGTTCTTGGAGTGTCTCATGAAGAAGTAGAAATGGCATGAAAGGAAGCAAAAATTGGAAGAACAGTTGAACTGGACCAAGTATACACATTGAGAAAGTCAGTTCAGACAGGAACATAATTTTGAGGGTGTTGAAGGAATCATTCTCTATATATCTGAAACAGAGAGTAGATACTAAGAATGTGGGAAAAAATCATTAACTTTATTTTTATCTCCTCCCCAAAAACAGTAAAGTGAGAAAATATCAATAATTACCTTGTCCTTACTTTCTTTGGTTTTTTGGCTAGGCAATGGGATTAAGTGACTTGCCCAGGGTCACACAGCTAGTGAGAGTGTTGTATATCTGAGGCCGGATTTGAACTCAGGTCCTCCTGACTTCAGGGCCAGTGCTCTATCCACTGTGCCACCTAGCTGCCCGTCCTTACTTTCTTAATTCTTCAAAGTGATATTCAGAAAAAAAAATTGAGAATAATACAGATATTAAGGACATTCTTGCGAAGGACACAGTATTAAGGACATACATACGTAAGAAGCAGTCGGTGCAGTGGCTAGCGTGCCAGCTCCAGAGTCAAGAAGACTCATCTTCCTGAGTTCAAATCTGGCCTCAGGTGCTTACTAGCTGTGTGATAAGTCACTTAACCTATTTGCCTCAGTTTCCTGATCTGTGAAATGAACCAGAAAAAGAAATGACAAACCACTCCAGTGTTTTTTCCAAGAAAACCCGTAATGGTATCATGAAGAGTCAGATGTGACTGAAACAACTGAATAAAAACAACAAGGACAATAGGGGGCAGGATTTGAATCCAGACCTGCAGACTCCAGAGCCAGTAATCTTTCTGTTGTAGTATATTGACTCCCCATCTAAGAATGTATATAGTATATCGAAGAATAACTCCACTTATGGGAAATGATATGAGACAAGTTTAAAATGCTGTGAAGGTTGTCATACTTATCTTACAACACTGGTCACAGATGCCCATTAGATAATCATAACTTCATCTAGAATAGCAGTGTAGCACAGCATATGTAGAGAGAACCCTGAACTGGGAGCCTGGTGATCTAGATTTTAGATGTTACTCTCTCACAAAATGCTGTATGACATTTGTCCAGTAACTTAGCCTCTCTGTGCCTTTAGGAAATGAGAAGATTGGAAAATAAACTACCTTAAAGAAGATATAATATCCTTCTAATGTCCAAAATATCATGAACTATTTTGATTGTATGTGTAAAAATGTATGTCTGTGGTATAATAAAATAGGTCAGGCAGGTGGCACAGTGGGTAGCATACCAGGCCTGGAGTCAGGAACACTCATCTTGTCCTCATCAGTGTACTCATCTGTTGTTTATTTCTTTTTTTCAATTATGTCTGATTTTTCATAACCCCTTTTGGGGTTCTCTTGGCAAAGATACTAGAGTAGTTTGTCATTTCCTTCTTCAGCTTATTTTACAGGTGAGGAAATTGAGGTAAACAGGGTTAAGTGACTTGCCCAAGGTCACATAGCTAGTTAAGTGTCTAGTAAATGGTAGCTTGGCACCTCATCCTTGCTTTACTTAGGTTTATGACACTTTCTTCAAATGCCACATATGAAGAAAGGCTTAAAGAGGAAATTTATGAAATTGTCCACTTTGAGGGAAATGTTAATTCTGTAGTCAGGATCACCTCTTTAAACCCTTTTCTAATACTCTCTCTTGAAAATAGGCAATACTCATAAGAAGAATGACTTTACTAAGTTTTGTTCATATTTTTTTGATCCAAGACCTGTGATTTCATTGATACCGAGAAGTTCCAGTAAGGAAATTCCCTCTAGGTAAATCAGAAATTGTTTTATAGGTTCAGATCTTTCGGAATTATATGATTACACTGAGAGGGCAAGTGACTTGCCCAGGACCACTTAGTAATAATGTGTCTAAGGCAGAACTTGAGCCTTGTCTTCAAGATGCAAGACTGGTTCACTCTCAGAGTACCTTTTACAAATTTTAGATATCTTCTATAATCAGGGATGTACTGGTAAAGTTTGATAACATTTAAGCTGCATTATTGACATTTTCTCCTTTACTTTTAAAAATTTAGACAAAAATAAAAAATCAAGCACTGATTTGTAGCATTTTCTGATATCCAAGATATATGTTCAAACTGTAAGTTTAACAATCAGTTCTCATGACCTGGGTCTAGCTGGCTCCAGATGATAGTTCATGCAGCACAGAGATCTAATTTTGAAACTATTTCCAATAGGAATAATTTTCATATGACACCTCATTTTGACTTTAACCTATTACATATTTTAACTAATGCTAAAAATTATTCCAATTTAAATTCTTATTTAGTCACAGTGTGCCTACACAATGAAGCATTTATAGAGTTAGAAAGAGCTTTATTTCTTGTGTAATTGTTAGACCTGTACCTACCAAGCTAAAGCTCAAAACAGAATAATTTCTTTAGATTCCAGGTAGTCCCAGTATAATTAGTTTCATGACTTATTATCATTATTAATCATAATAGATATCACATGGCTATAGTATGTTTAGGCTAAACCTTTGTAATGAAGCCATCCCAAATATCTGGCCATTGCAATGACAGATACTGTTACAAGCATGGATTGCAGATGGATGGAACTTTTCTCCTTTGGGGAATTTGCTGTTTTCTTCTTCATTGTGCCTAGAATTGTCTAAACTGAGTTAGGCACTCATCAGAGTAAAAGCACAAATTTAACCACTCATAAAAATTAAGTTAAGCACTACAACATTGTACAGAGCATTGTCAAAATTAAGTACTCATCATTTGGAATTTCTGTGAGAGTTACATGTGAAAGGTGAAAAGACTTTTCTGCTTTGTTAAGATCTTTAAGTCATCAGGAAAGGAAAGTTTAAAGTTTCATTGCCATTTCAGAACAAATATAAGTTGATATAGGTAGTTCCCAAGATGCTAAGACTTGACTTAAGAACCTTTATACATGAATTAGATACTCCTAATCATTTCACTATGTAATTAACTGGAAGGAAGCTAATGAAAAGGAACAGTATAAAGCTCTCTCTTAATTCAACAGTGAAAAGGGTTAATGTATCACTTTGATGAATTGTTGAGGGACATTCCCAACCAGCCAGGAGTCTTCATCCCTCTGCTAATTCTGGCCACTAGGTAGCCACTTCCTCGGGGCTTTTAGGGTCAAAATCTAGGAGAAAAAATGAGATGACATAGTGAACAGAGTGCTGGACTTGGAATCAGGAATCATGTCCCCAGATTGGGTACCAGGCACATTATTTAACCTCTCTGGGTCTCAGTTTCCTCCTCTGTAAAGTGTGCATTAAAATATCATCAGTGTAACAGGGTTATTGTAAAGGATCAAATGAGATCAGTGAAGGACTTCATAAGCCTTAATGCACTATAAAAATGTGAATTGATATTATTTTGAAGAATGTTCTATTATGCAGCCAGGCATAAGGCAGGATGGGACTGTTCTCTTCCCAAACTTCCCCAATAATAATGCATTATCAGTAAGGCATTAGCTTGGCACTGCCAGAGCAGCTAATGTCTCTCAAAAATTGGCACTTTAAAACACAGGTGGTCATTAATTCCAGGTACCAAGTGCTCTGGTGTCTCAGTCCTCCATGGCTCCCTAATCTTGGATAACAGGAAAGAGATCAGTACAGAGATGGAATTCCCTCTGGTGTGGTTGAAGAATGGGGGCAGACAGCTTGTAGTAAAGTGACAAATAACAGTAGAGCGTAATTAGTAGGGCAGGATATCCTAGAGCTAAGGTTGGGGGAAAACAAATGCTGACCAGGGTGCTAGAAAAGAGGGCAGCAGAACCTTTAATACTAACATTAACAATATTAAAAAACAAACAACAATAACAAAAGAAACCAAATCACGTGTTTTTTCATCTAATTGTTAATACTTCAAATTTATTTTAACTACATTTCATTTGTAAATGTATATATATGGATGTGTGTGTGTGTCTGTGTGTGTGCATACACACACACACAGACACACACACACACACAGTAGTTCAAGGACTAAGTAGTCTTTTGTGAGCAGAATATGTCTATATAACCTACTGTTTCTATAAGAAAATGAATCTGGAGTTACAAGGTGTGACATATAAACTTCTGAGAAGCAAAATCCCGAAATTGTGGAGAACCTCTATACCAGTTCAATGATTTTATGATATTTAAATGAAAAAATCTTCAGAAGAGTTACTTGATTGAATAAGCAACATAGGGAAAATATATAGGACAAAGGGGGAAGCAATAGAGTTACTAGATTTGAGAATGCACTTTATTTCACTTTGATGGAGCAGGTTGGGTGGTAGCACTCTTCTTTGTCATGGAACCTTCTGAGAAAGCTATTGGCTTTCAATGTAGATTTGGTTCTATTCTCATACTTTTAAATGATGTATTAACTCTCATATCACTGTCACCATCATCTTTCCTAGCATTGCTTTTTCTCACCTCATTTTCTGCTTGTCAATGGAAAAAAATGGCTATTCAGGGATCCACCTTCAACTATTTTCATGTGGAGCTAAGAGGTGGAAATGAGCCCCCTTCCTGCTTCTAGTACCAGGTGTTCCCATCTGACAACTCTTCTCTTCTGTATTTCCAGTTTCTAAATGGGTTTTTAATTGGAAAACACTGATTCCTAAAACTATTTGCTGAGAAGAGCTACAAAGCAGTTTTCCATCTGTCAGTTTCTTTTTATCATTTTGTTATATGATTATGGCTTTATTTATCATATTTTCTGTACTTTTTAACATCTCATTTCACAGGCAATCTCGAAAGTCGGAAAGATCTAGCAACCAAAAACAGACTAGGAAAAGCAATGCATCTGATGCAGAAAGGTAGGCTTAGCCCTATGACATTGTTCATGGCCATCTTTGATTTTAACATATACATACATATATATTATATATTTTAACATATATATCTAAGTGTGTTCCTTATTCACTGGCTCTTGTTTGAAGTGTTCAAATACAAAACTAATTTTGTGAAATTAAAGGTTATTTATTGAATAATCCCTATTATTGTCTGGGTACATTCTCTTATGTTAGGGTAAGAATATGGCAATTTAAAGGCAATCCCTTGGACAAAGGTTCCAGTTTCTAAATCTTGCATTGGCTTTTGCTGTTTTTATTACTCATTGGAGGAGGCTGCATCTACTTCTCATCTTTACATATAGCTTCATGTACCCTGAAGCATTTGAACTCAGTTTCAGTTTTTTGAGTTCAATCCACAAATTCAATAACGAATAGGTCCTGGATGTGTGATTTCATTGGTAGAAGGAATTCCTCAGTGGAAAAAGCTTCATATACCAATGCATGTCAACAGCTTCTTTACAGTTGTCAAGAGCACCAAGAGATTAGGTAACTTGCCCAAGATCACACAACAACTGGGTGTCAGAAGCAGGACTCAAACCCAGGACCCTATGGTGAGGCTAACTCACTACACCACACTACTGTCTCACTACAACTGTATTAATATTCTGTATTTCCAAGTATTAGTATGCCAGCAGTTTTAATATTTTTTGTCTATACTTAGCAAATGCCACTATTTTCTATAGGTTCCATGAAGAAGATCATAGACTCTTTTAATTTGTAGAATGTTCCTTTACTGTCATTTCCCCAGCAGCAGCATGAAGTTAGAGGAGGACAGGAACTGACTTGGCATCTCCAATGCTTAGTATTCTGTCTGGTACATAGTAGGAGCTTCCTAAATGCTTGCTGATTATCTGGTTGATAGATGAAACTACCATAGAAGTCATATAATCCAAATTTTATTTTTTTGGTGAGGACAATGAGGCCAGGTTCTAAAATTCAAATCCAGATCCTTAGACTCCAGAGTTAGTGTTTTGTTCACTCTACCACACTTCTCATCAACTATGACATGACAGCTATATCAGAATTAAAGATATGGTTTGAGTTAAAATGTAAAATTATTTGTGTTAAAAATACTTAATTCTCTCATACAAAATCTATATTTAGTATCCCCAAATATCCCATAACACATGTAAAAGTATAACTAAGAGTAAAATGAAAAACATTTAATTATTTCCCCCAAAATTATTAAATATTAAAAGAATTCATAAAAAAGTGATGTGCCACCTATTCTATTTTTAAGGTACTTTATATCACAAAATGATGTTTTGCTAAATTTTAGCACAGCTTCTACAGCAGCCCAATGCCAGTAGCCTTCACTTGAATACACCACGACTGTAGTTTTCTTAATTCACTATTTCTTTGGAAATATCATATATTTATGTTCATCAACTTTTACAGTTGAATAATATCGAACTAGTGACATACCTGATCAGAAAGAATATGAGTAGTCTGACAAAGTAAAATGTAATGGCCAAATTAATTTTTTTTGCTAAAATTACATCTTCTGTAAAGAATAGATTCTTTAGAGAGGTTACCCTGTTTTTCATTTAGGTTCTGAGCCTTTGAGTCTCTATGATTTTGTATAGTCTCTCACCCTGGGGGAAAAAATGAGGCTTAATATTTTGGGGCATTCAATTGACAACACTTTTTCATGACAATTGATATTATGTAAGAGCATCTCCTCATTGTAAAGAAATTATAATCTTAGAGTAAACCCATACAATTCATATATAGACAGTGTCTTAAACAACTATGTCAAGTAATCAATCCGCTGGTTGTTCTGTCAAAAAATCATTTGTATAGAGAAAACCAGAGAAAAATGAGTACATTGTCTTCTTTACATTACTTTTATCCAATACCACATTGCTACTGTTTTTTTGCACTATTCTTCAATGTTTTATTCCCATAGAATAAATAAGATCTCTTTGATTATTCATAGAATTTAGAGAAGCAAACATAATCAACCAAATTCTTCAGGTTTTAAAAGTAACTGATCACTTCATATTTCTGGAAGTTATTGATTTCCTGGGGTCAATGGAACTGAACACCAACAGCTTATTTCTAAAGTTAAATCCCAAAATCTACCCTTCTGAACATTTTCCTTTCTTTTCCACTTTCCAAATTTCCAATGTCTTCTTCCCCTCAGTCAAGAGCATAAGTTAGTTCTGTACATACAAACATACACACACACACACACACACACACACACACACACACACACACACACAACACATTTGCAATCATTTGGTTTTGTCCAGATCTGTGATCTCATCAGTGTGCGTGACTCTCAATGACAAAGCCCCTTTACCAATAGAGATTTGCCATTCATCTCTAGAACTACCAGTCTCAGTGAAGTGACTAGGAAACTGAGAGGTTAGATGGCTTGCCTGGGGTGGCATAGTGAATATAGGTCGGTTGTAGGACTTTAACCCATTTCTTTCTCACTCCAAGGCCAATCTTATATTCACTATAGTATACTGCCTCTCAGAGCAATAATAAAAAGGTGTTTATTTTTTCTCTAATGTTTATGGCAAATAATATTTAATGGGAAAAGTTAAGACCTTCCAGTGTAATTCCCTGTTGGCTTGCTACTTGAATAAAGCAGACCCTTCTGAAATTATTAAGTAGCGCACAAGAAATCTGATAGAACTAGCCACAATGTTTCATTTTAGTTATTACAAAACATAGACAAGAACCACACCAGAAAACAAGTAAATAAATTTGTGTCTGGGAAACTGACACGTAACTCTTTGAAAATCGTTTCTATGATTTAGTTTGAATGTGTCCTTCAGAAATTCCTCTTCAGAAAGACTTTGGTTTAGAAATGAATCGAATACATAAATGAATAGGGATAATGCTTATTGATTTGACTTAGAGTAAAATTTAAAATAAATGGAACCAAACAACTTTGGAAGTGGTCTAGAGTCTACACAAAATGTTTATCTCTCTTTTTTTCTTTTCTGTTCTTTCTTTCCTTCTTTCTTTCTTTCTTTCTTTCTTTCTTTCTTTCTTTCTTTCTTTCTTTCTTTCTTTTTACTGGTCTTTTGGTATCCATCCACTTTAAGACAGTGGCCAAAATTCCATTCTTTCCACCTACTGATTTTAAGAGCCATACAATCTTTGACATTTCAACATAAAATTCCATCATAGGCCAAAAGCTATCTCCTCACAATTGCCTCGATTTATTCACTGAGAAAGTATTAATTTTCTCAGTTCATTTCAATGCAATTATTTTTGTTGTTGTTCTTTATTGTTTTGTTGTTGTTTTCTTTTTTCAGTCATGCCTGACTCTTCATGACCTCATTTGGGGTTTTCTTGGCAAAGATACTGGAGTGGTTTACCATTTCTTTCTTCAACCCATCTTACAGATGAGGAAACTGAGGCAAACAGGGTTAAGTGACTTGCCATGGGTTACACAGCTAGTAAGTGTCTGAGGCCAAATTTGAACTCAGGTCTTCCTGACTCCAGGCCTAGCACTCTATCTACTGCACCACCTAGCTGCCCCCTTACTCTGCGTAGGAGTTTTGCTAAGGTCTCAATGGCCTGCAGTGTCCTTTTTTCACTTCAAGCAAAATAATTCCAACAGGGTAGTATTAAAATTCCCTTCTACTCTTCCTTATAGTATTTAGTCAACATGGTATGTATACAATGTGTACTGTTCCCATGAGAATTTCTTCTCCAACTAAGATTAGACGAATCGTGGTTTAAGCAGATGCTTCCCTTCTCTAACAATTCTGCATGACTCTAGGGTTACATTTCCCATGTATCTCATACTTTTGTTCACGTTACCTTATTCCTCTCTGCAGATTCATACATAATGAGTGGAGTAGTTTTATTGTCAGCCCAATTCATTTCTAAACCAAAGTCTATTTCTGAAGAGGAATTTCTGAAGGACACATTCAAACTAGATCATAGAAATGATTATCAAAGAGTTACATGAGTGTTTCCCAGATACAAATTTATTTACTTGTTTTCTGGGGTGGTCTTTGTCTATGTTTTATAATAACTAAAAGGAAACATTGGGCGGGGGGAAGTTACCATAATGCTTAAGGAGGGGCAAATCAACCCAAGTCAGAAAAACAGGGACTTTAAAAGTTTCCATGCTGATTGATAATGGGATTGGGCCTGTGAATTATTATTGCACTTACTGCTTGGGTAAGTTAGAGTTAGTCTCAAAAATCGACACAAAACAAGCAAACACACACACACAAATACACACATACACATACTACATAGCTATCCATAGATATACTCTATGTACGTATTTGTACATATGTATTCATTAGTTTAATTATAATTCTATTGCAAGAAAATATTTATTTCTTCTTGAAAGTTTACAGCATTTGGAACTTATGTTTCTATTTGTTTCTCTGCTTATTAATTATATTTCCATAAAGATATATGTAATTTAGATAGAATTTGAAACTATGTGTCAGAGAATAAATGGAAGGATAATGCAATGAAATACAAATACAATGTTTTCACAATTTTTCATATTGAAAAATTGTTCAGTTTGTGAGACTTTTTTATAAATAAAAACAGTACATCACAATAATATAAGATCTATATGTAACTGCAGGCCAGTTTTTAAAAGTAGCTTTCAACTTGTGTTCTTTGACTAAAACGATGATTGAAGCTCACAGGATGAACCTACTTTGATCTAGGGAGTTCTTGAAAACTAGCAGTTACAGATGAATTTCTGAAGTGTTTCTGTGGAGAGAATTTCCACACTGAAAGTTCTCCATAGAGGTTAAAATCACAGGCCCAAAGCTCAACCCACCTACCCCTTAAAGAACCACCACCAACAACAACAAAAATGAAGGTAGCCGTATTTGACTGATACGTTGACATGTTGACTACTTATTTCTGAATATTTAAATAAAATATTTTTCTCTCTTGATCATCCCTATTTTGAAAATGTTGTTTTGGTTCTTGTAGATCTAGGTGATAATTTTGGCATTGAGATTCAGGAAATAATTGCCAGATGTTATGAAACTTCACCAAAGAAAAGGAGCAGTATTTCACCTTGCCCTTTATTAGTTAATTCTTGATGTCTTCTCCGAAGACAGATGAGACTATACTATGTAGCAATTTTAGAGATTTCAAAATTCTGTTTATTCAAATGAGTGGTTACTAATAAAGATCTGGGTGGTGTGTGATTTTTTCCCACCTTGGTAACTGAAATACTAGCAGCCTCTAATATGTACCTCCACTGCCAGTCTAAAATTTCTGGAATGACTATGACTAAGATCTGTCAAACCCAAAGTCCTAGGTTTGGATTAATATTTGTCAACTGCTTAAATTATACTCTCTCTCAGTTCCCCAAGCATGACATTGGCTTTTTGTGAAATTAGATAGATCTTAAATCAGTGACAATTGAAGAAAATAGATCATTTTGAATGAATAACTAAAGAAAAACTGTCCTTGTGATTATAAACTGAATGCTTTACTCTGAAGAGTACAATCTATTTGAACAAGGTACACACTCAAATATTTCCAATTACTGAATGCATCATTAGAATAACATCTGGTCCAAACTGTCATGTTTTTTCAAAAAAAAAGGTGTGTGAGGGGATCTGGTTATACTGTTTTAGCCAATGAACAGCATAAAATATGATTAGTTTAAAAGAATAGCTATTTGAAAGGTGAATGGTCTCCATACAATTTACTAGGGATGTCAGATCAAAGACCAAGGCCTCCACTCAGACATCCTAGAAATAGCAGTAAGTTCTATGCTTCTTTTATTCACCAAATTCTTACTTTAGAAATCATATTCACAGCCAAGTTTCTGGCTTTCTCTGTTGATATTAAGAGAGAAGACATACAAACTACGATATTGGTATGTTTTATCAGACTCTTATTGTTAAGGTTAAAGCTTTGATCTGCAGATATTGTTTCACTTTTACAAAAGCACTTTTTGTTGATTATCCCATATTTTAAAGCCCTCAAGAATTCATAATGTGCAAATGTCATTATAATTAATACTATAAGAATGCCATATGTAATGATCTTTGAATGTATATCAGTACTAGTTGCCGAGTAAAATCATAAATATCGTCAAAAACAATGTAGCCTGTTCTACTGGATAGAGGACCAGACGGAGTTACAATGTTCTGGGTACACGTCCTGCTGCCTCTGAGGCATACTGGCTTTTTGACCCTAGGCAAGTTACTTAATCTTTGAGTTCTCTAGCCAGCTCTCCAGACTTCAAGTGACAATGTGCAGATATGCCTGGTAGAAAGACTTCATTCATCAGGAGTACACTATCCTACTGACATCTTAAGGCTAGACACATTCCCATCTCCATCTTGAAAATCGTATCTTAAATCTTCCACACATTATACATTGTCTATTCCTGAAAGAAAACATTTGAAACATCCTTAAGTAGATTTCTCTACGTGAACCTAAAGTTCCTTTGGAAAAAGAGGAAATACATGTTCTGAGTTAAAGGAATTTAATTAATTAATTACTTTAAAACTTACATGGCATGATGATTCTCAGTGCTAGATTGTTTGTTTGTACTTATTTGCACATCAGTATATAGCAGCCAAATGATCGAGTTTTGCTTGGTTCTGAGCATCACTAAGCAATTACATTAATTTAATGAAGTTTTCCTTGGGCAAATGGGTGGCGGGAAAGATAATGTGGACATGTTGACTGAAAATTTTTTCTGACCCTAATGTTTTAGGGTTCTCCCACAACATCTTTCTAGAAGGGGACACCCTACCCCAAGAACAACTGATCAGCCAGTCATTAGGGGAAAACATCCCTCTCGCTCAAGGTCGAGTGAGCATTCTAGTGTCAGAACACTGTGTTCTATACATCACCTTGCTCCAGGAGGGTCGGCACCAGCTTCTCCGCTTCTGACAAGGTTGCTATTCCATGTATGGCCCCACATTCATGTGCTGCCTTCCAGGTGTCAGTGTGGTGTTGTACCTTCCTGAACATTCGATGCTTCTGCTCATTACGGCACTATACCTAAGAGTCCTTTCTTCATGACTCTTACACACTTCTCCCACCTCCTTTAAGACTTACATCTATTTTCTCTGTATTGATGGAAATTCTCTATTTCCTACCCCAAAACCACCATTAAGAACTAAATCTGGCTGTGTTGTGTCCTTCCATCTGTTTGTGGCATATTCATATCAAATGATTTTTAAAATGTGGGAAAAACAGCATACAGTGAATTACTTGGAATAAAAGCTTACATTCCCTTTAGAATGTACAAGGAAAAATGTCCTTGAATAGCAATTAGATAGAAGTTATTTTAGTGATGCTTAGCTTAAAATATGTGACTATAAATATATAAATACTTAGAGTAAGCCCCAACTCCTGTGCTATAATTTAGATTACTTTTCCTACTTATCACACAGAATAAAATATTATCTAATGAGGCAGCATAGTAATGTACAGAGAGAGCTGGCCTCAAAATTAGGAAGATCCAGGTTCATGTCTTACTTCTGACATATACTGACTCTGTGACCCTGGGCAAGTAATTTACTCTCTCAGTGCCCCAGGCAACTCTCTAAGACTTTTAAGTGTATAGAAGATGTTGTCCTGCAGTGGTAGAGAAAGTTATTCATCAGGCACTCCCTACCCTAATGAGATCACAGGTCTCATCTTGTTTATCTAATTTTTACCTTTGTTCCAAGTCCTATGACATCTGTCCAAAGTCGAGATTTTATTTCAATTAAAAAAAAAAGTTTCAATATCTATAATGGCAAATTTGAGGAAGCATACAAGAATGATGAATATATCCTTAGTCTTTAGAATTGTTTGGAGGTGGTGTGCATAATTCTGGAAATATCATTTTTAGTCATAGAATTGTAGGTGATTTGCAAAAGTCTGCTTAATAGCTCTGTTGCACATTCAAATTCTGAAGCTTTCAGTTATGTGTGTTTGGTTCAGCAGTAGCAAGAATAGATCATCCATAGAATAACACTCATATAATCAAAATATTTCAATTAGAAGCTGCTCAGTTCAGAAGTCCAGTCATTCAACTAGCACTTTTTATATGCTTACTATATGCCAGACACTGCACTAAGCACTGGGGATACAGAGAAGGGCAAAGGACAGCCCCTGCTCTCAAGGAGCTGATTATCATTCTATTAAGTAGAATTTTGTGACATATATATTCACAGTCCATTTCCATGCTCCCTTGATATTGCTTTTTCTTTTTCATCCATGTGTTTACATTTTTCCTTCAGTGAGGATCTGACAGGCATTTTAATGTTTGGCTTAGATGAAAAAGCGAAATAAATCAGATTTGATAATTGACGTGTATTGAATTTGCATTGTTTCTTTTTCCCCCTCATTTCCCTTGCAGAATGCACCAACAAGGAAGTCCGGGACAGTCTCCTCCTGCAGACACAGCCTTCAGCAGTCGTAGGGGAAGACAACTCCCACAGGTTCCAATAAGAAGCGGCAGTATAGAACAAGGTATCACCTAATGAATGAGCTATCGTAGTCAATAAATTTTGGGTTTCAGATCATACCCCCTTTTCCGAATCTGTCACTTGGGTTTTTTTTTAGCATAAAATAAGTCCTTTTACACTGGACAGAATTGTGTGAATGGTAAGAATATGATTTATTTAGATTCTTGGATTGTCAGTCCAAAATGCTAATTAAGTAATAAAACAAAAATCTTTGGGAAGTGATAAAGGTTACAATGTGAAAATGACAAAGCAAAAGAGTAAATACTTTTGCACTATGTAGTACCTTTCAGGTATCAAAGGAAACAAGTACCTTAAAGTGAATTCTTCCACTAAATGCATGTGGCTAACTTTGCTGACCCAACTACCAGCTTAGTACTAAATGGCTATTTCCTTTAACATTTCCTGTATGAGGATTATGATTTGCGAGTATTTACTAGAGTCAAACAGTGAACATGACTGGATTTTGAATTCAATTTTAGAAATGCATGTCACTTTATTATTTTGTAATGTCTATGTTGTATTTTATAACGTACATAGTTTGTTTTTTAAAGTGACAATTTGAAGTCACAAATATTATCTCAGTCAAATGGTTTGTATGATGAATATAAGGTTGCTGGTTCCTGAGGGGGGGAAAAATTTGTAGAACCAATTAAAATTTAAACTAATTTAAATGGATGATGTTTCTTATTGTTATATAGAGATGAAATAATGTTTCTTGGAGTTGGTAGGTGTTTGATAGAGTTTATAGGTGTTTGATAATTAATTTATAAAAATTGTGACTGGGTATCCTTATAAAATTATAAATACAATATCCTTGACTAAGTCAAAATAGATGTGACAGAAACTATGTATAGTCAATATTGAAATGCTGAATATTTCTCCCCCTACTGGTATCTACCATAGCTGAATTCACTTTTTGTCTTTTATTCTATGTTTAGGATTTCTTCTTTTCATTTATATGCTAACTACAGTGTGGGTACTAGAACTGTTATATAATATGGCTGAACTTTTACATTAAAAAGTTGGAAACTATCAGTTCATTTGGTTCAATTTCTGCTCTGAATAATGACATTTCTTGGAATGTCACCTTTAATTATATATATTTTTTAAAGTGGCGGAGTTATTTTCTTTCCGAGTACTATGTATTTTATTTTACCTTGATCTATTTTGTTGATCCCTAAGAGTAAAAATGCCTTAATGACACAAATATGGGTTGAAATAGATGACTTTTGAAGTTTCCTCCAACTTTGAGAGTCTATTTCTAAATGAAAATCGAATGTTTAATAAAAGACATGAATTTATGTTTTTTCAAATGGATATCATAATATATCTGAGGGAACATAGTGGTGAAGAGGAATGCTGGTTCTATAAAACCTTGGACTTGTATGTGTTAATGAATCATACTTTCAGGTTATATACAATAAATTCTTTTTACAGATGGAACCAATAGGGCCTCCCTTGGAAATGATTAATTTTGTGGAAATTTGACATTATTTTCTGAAATACTAATTTTCATTTTTAATTATTTCTTCATAGTTTTATCTAAAGTCTATTGTTCATTCTGTTATCTAAGAGATTATGTCAGAATACTGTTTGGAGAGACTCATCTTTAAAAAAAATGGAAACCAATTATTTTTTCCTATTTACATCAAAAACAAGTGCAGGCTTGATTTGCCATATCTATTCATGTTTTCCTGTTGCACAATTTAAGACTGATATTAAATTTGGTGCTTAGCTGGCATCATGAGTTGTCAGCTTTATATTCTTAGATATCTGAGTCCTAAATGACATTCTTTTTAGAAATTCTTTGCATTTCCTCCACTTGTAAATCAAGCACTCTAAGGGTTTGATACCAAATAATTGTACTGCATATTGATCATATATGATGAGACCGTTGCTATATTATTGCCATAAAACCAAGAATTGCTTCTACAGATTAAAGGGGGATATATTTCAGATTTCCATTAGAGGATAATCACATTTTTCCCTTAAATACTGAATATTTGCTATTCATGATATTAATATTCACAGATGTCTTGCAGAGAAATTCATCAGTTTGTCAGGTTTCTGCTGAGTTGGAAGAACGAAAGTGACTGAGAATGAATTGTTCGTGGTTTTTCTTCTAAAATTTAGTTTTACAAGCTTATCTTATTATACTTAAAACTTTTTTGCTTGCCTGTTACTAGGTGTTTCTTCAATGATATATGTCTTTGAGAATCATAGCAATTTGTCTGTTCTTAAATTACAACTGCTAAAATATATTGTGGTATCAGAGGGATTTTTTGACATCTGTACTTCTAAATTTGTTTTCATTTTGATATATTATAGATAAATGCTTTGGATAACAGTGGTAGACAATGTCAAAGTGCTCAAAACAGTGAAACCCCAAGAATTCCCATGATAAGCCAAAATTTACTTGGCATATATATTTATGAATACGTTGATGAATGAATTTTAAAAATCTTTAGTTCCTATTTCTTGATAACACATTTTTTTAAATTAGCCCAAGTAATTGATTCTGACTCAATTGCATTTTGTTGTAAGAATTTCTTAAATATTTCAATTCATGAAAAAGATAGGATTTAGGTTGAAGTAGTATCCATTATACTTTCCTGTGAGTACACTTTATTCTAACAAGTCTGCTGTATTTTCTGACAATTTTAATATAAGTATATATATGCATATATGCATACATATATACTTACACATATATACATGCATATATAAATATTCGGTTTCTCAAGCAGAATAATACTCATTGAGTTTCCATGTTTAGAGTTAGTATGACACAATGGATAGAGAGCTGGCTTTGACTTTGATTCAAGTCCTGCCTCTGACACGTCCTGACTGTGTGACCCTGGGCAAATCACTTAATTTTTCGATGTTCTAGACAACTCTGTAAAACTCTAAATTTCAGAAAAGGTGCTGATCTCTTTATAGAAGTTTTTGTTTTGTTTTGTTTTTCCCCACATAGGCATTTCCCATCAATGAAATCATGGATCTATCCGAGTCCATTACACTTATTTGAGCTTCTTCTGTGCTACCAATTTTTCATTTTTTTCTTCCTTCTTTCCTTCCTTCCTTCCCTTCTTCCTTCTTTTCTTTATTTCTCAGAACAATTTTACTTGACAACTGCACTAGTTTAACTTTTCTTAGACTCACTTTTTATAAACCTCTTGGGACAAATATGGTAATATTTCTAATTTTGACTCCTTACGAAAGTAGAGAGTAATCTCCTTCTTAAATTACTCCTTCCTATACTCATGTACTATCTTGTTCCCAATATTTTTGCTGGGGTAATCAGAACATTTGTCTATATGGTTATTTTTCTTGAGTCAGTCAATCCACTACATATTCTTTCTTGTACTTTAGGATAAATCTTTATTATTAGTGAGAAAAAACTGAATAATGTCTTTGGAAGGACATAATTAATTCTTCTTGTCCATAAAATGTGTTTTGGAGCCTCTTAAAAATAATCTGCTCAAATAGGAAACTATATGTGCCCTGTGGGATTTAATTCTTAACAATTTGGTTCAACTGCCATTAATAAATGGCTACTATATGTAGAATATTAAATGGCTACTATCTGCAACCTGGTTTCAAATTAAACTAGGTTCTCCAAGAAATTCAGAGTTGAGATGAGAACTGGTCTATCCCAGGGATTTCAAACATGGTGGTCACATGTAGCCCACAACACTCCTGTGTGAGACACATCAGATTAAAACATCATTAGGAAATATTTACCAATATAAATAAAAATACAATAAAACATAGTAAAAAATTAAGATGTGGTTTTCTAAATCAATATGCAATCCACAGGGATCCTTATACATGGTCCCAGTTTTTAATTGAGTTTGACACCATTGGTCTATAACAGAATGAAAACTTACAGTTAGTAGAAAGTAGACTTGAAAAAAGAAGAGTACATATCCATGTAGTTTCTAGAGATGATGTTAAGTAAAGGATAGCTGCATAATATGCTATCACATCATAGAAGTAGGCAAGGGGAAGATAGCTAAGAATTTGGTCACCTACTAGATGTGTACTGACATTTTCCTAATGCAAAGGAGTGAATAGGATTCCACAATACTTGGTTTCTTATAATAATATCTTGGGATATTTTTCTGATCTAGAGGATAGAATGATTTTTCCCCCTGCATAATCATATGCTTTTGGTGGAAAGATGGGGGAAACTGTGGTTAATCTAATTTAGAAACCTACACAAAACATCACTTCAGTTTGGAGGTCTCATCCAGTAGATTTGCACTAGTAGTTCTGCTGACTTTGAGGCACAGAATATCTAAGACCAAGTTTTTCATGGATATACTGGTGAATCATGTAGCAGTTTATGAAACTTGATTGTCACTACAATCAGAAAAAGCTGAATAAAACACAGAATTCCACCATTTGCTACTTAATTCAAACTACTTCTCTTTTGGAAATAAGATTAAGGAATACTCTTCATAATGTAGAGATGTTGATGAAGTGAGGAAAATAGAGTTTATTTGGCAAATTTTTTATTAATGACCACTAGTACAAATTTTAGATGGGCTAGAGTGATACAACCTAGATACAACCTAAACTACAGAAAAGTAATTGTTATTAACAAATGTAAATATAAATAAAATAATTTCACAAATAATCACTCTGCTATAAAAAATAATGAATATATTTCCCCTGGACAATCTAATATCACATTGCAAACAGCTCTAGAGATAGTAGACAATTATGAGATTCCCAAAAAGTAGAAGAGAGATATCATGAACTTTTTGTTATAGATTATCTACATTTTCACTTCTTCATTTCTGTGATTTCATTTGACATCTTCTGAGGACTTTACTAAAGTCTGTTTGAAGGCAGTAGATTCCATCATCCCTTCTTTGATTATTTTTAATACCATATTTGATCCTGCCTCAACTTTGGCATCTCATGGTTTGTCATTACAACTTATCATATCACTTTTATACATTATATATATTTTTATTGTTCATGTCATTGTCTTATTACACATTTCCTTGTCTAACTATAAATTTGCTGATTTCTTTCTTTTGTTTCCATCATTATGTGCATTTAATTCATTGAAGAACAAGACAAATATAGCTCTTCCTCAAAAGGTAAATATTAATGTAACTTTTCTAACCCTTTAACATTGTTACCTTTCCATTATAAAATGTAATAGGTATTTTGTAACTTTGCTCTCTTGAATTTTAAAAAGTCAAAATTTTAATGAACAGATTAATTTAAAGTTATAATTATGTATCAAGTTCAGCATTGTTGCATTTAAATGTGAAATACATTTAGAAGGCTATAATTTTTTGAAAAGTGTTGAATAGAATATTCAGTGTTAATTGTCAGTGTATATGAATAAATTAGATGAACTCTTGAAGAAAGTACCATTACTTAAGGAAATTAGTATCTGTGTTTCATAAATCTGTATTTATTCATACATATACATATATACACAGATAAATCAGAGAGTATTTCAGTGTAACAAGAAGCTCCTTATCAATGTAATAAAAGTATCAAAGTTAATTCCATTTACTCTTCGAATTTTGGTCAAGAACTTAAGTCTCACCTTTTCTTCAAGAAGAGCCTAACCATATGATCAGGTACAGAAGGGGGAGCAGAAAGTTGTCCTAGGTAATAATCCAGATATGCTTCTAGGAATTTGATAGGAAGATAAATGTTTCTGTGCCTAACTACAACCTGTCTAGAATTGCTCCCTCCAAAGGGATGCAGTGGTTGTAAATTACTGGATATCCCCAAAAGAATGAACTACCAGTTCATATTTGATCTTTTCTTTAATCTTGTTTGAGGTAACATCCTATTTTCAGATTGCTCATTTGGTGCTCCAACTTATGTGGTTCTTTCACTATCCTTGCATACTACCCGGACTTTTCCTATATTGACAAGAGCCAAATGTTTTGGTGTGGATTTTCAAAATGTGAAAATTGCAACCTACCATTTTACAATCCTCATTGCACAGAAAGGACAGTTGCAATTTTCCCAATATTCTGCAATAGTTAAAATAGTTAAAATATTCTGCTCATTAAATACTGAGCTCTCAGTGCTATTATGAAGTCCCCGTTTTACCCTTACCAGCATAAAGACCTCCAGAAATGCTAGTATTGTGAATACATTGCCATCCTTTTTTGAATGCTTTAAATTCCATTGCACCATACTTCTTATCATCCTGGTTTCAAATGTATCACTAGATGACATGTGTTCTTTTTATTCCCATGGTTTTGCACTGCTTTCTGTGCATTCTGCTTTTGCCATTAAAGTACATGCTACATGGCTACATGGAAGGAACACACGTCCTTTGGGTTCAGAAGGATTAAAGTGAGGCCCAATGCAACTGAAAGGTATAGAGTCCTTTAATTATAGTTAATTGATAAACTTTACCATAGAAATGTCAGAATTTAATAGTTCACTTCAGAATTCCACAAAGCAGTTTAAAAAAAGTAATGCTCTACATTTAGAGCAACAAAATCAAGCTGCCTTTGTAAATAAATCTATCACCTACCAACCAAATTTTATTAATGGAAAATGAAATTAAAATGGTAAGCAAGGCAGTGTGGTATAGGGGAAAGAAGGCTGAATTTTAAGTCAAAGGTCCAGGGATATTTAAATACCTTGTATAGTCTTGGGCAAATTAATTTACCTCTATGGGCCTCCATTTCCATACCTCTAAAATGAAGGAGCTATCCTAAATCTTTAAGGTTCCTTTGAACCATAAACCCTATGACCCCATGAGTCAGTTTTGAGGTCCAGATTGACTTGGAACAATTAAAAGTTTTGTCTGGAATCCCTACAATAGAGATAATTTCCCTGCTAGCTATGTGCTGGACCTTTAGAACTAGATTGAAAATAGAGAAGTCTTCCTGGTTGTTGTACACTGATGGATTTAATTTATGGTCAAGATTTTGAACTAATGGTCCTCTATGGCCAGTGCATACTACATGCTAAAGTGAGTCTCCAGAGTCATCATTCTAGTTTTCAAATTGCTCAGCATTTCTCAGTGAGACAGTTGAGTCATAAAACTATTGCCCAGAATACCCACCTCAGCCTTACTATGATAATAAATCCTATAATTATGCCTTGGAGGAAGGCCACAAAGGCTTCCCTCATAATGGTCACTGCTACTCAGTTTACAATATTCTCACTGCAAATTGTAATGGGGACCTTGTTCCAGAATATTTTCTTCCATTTAATGAAATATATCCAATGTATCTGAAAGAGGTCTGTCATCTTCTGGAGATGGGAAAATGGGAGGAGGAACTAACAATGTCCATATTTCTGTTTTCCTTTTAACAGCCTATTACATAACAACATCAAGGCTGTGACAGACCAAAATGTTCTGATAGGTACAAGTTCTTAAAAGTCGTCAGTTAAAAAGCATTTTTATTCCTTTACATCCCTTGTATTGTATTCCCTGAAAAACTGGATAAATCCTACTAATGTAATTTTGGAAATGCATCAAAATGCTGGTAAAAAGTGCAAAGTAGAATCAGAAACTGGTTTACAGACTTTCCTTTTGACTTAAGGGTGAAAGTGAATAGAAGAATTAACTATCCAGGAAGCATTAACTTTTTTTTAAGCACATCAAAATCACTTTTTAAAAAATCAGTCCTACAATCATAGACTTATCATAGACTACAATCATAGACACTTATTAAAAGGATCAGTTTCATTCATTCAGTTGTACTGAGCTACTGTATAGTACAATGTGTACTGTGTTATAATCACATATATATAGAGAAAACTAAACTTCACATGGTTAAAACAAAAGACCACCTGGGAAAGAATTAATAATCAATCCACAAGTGTTTATTAAACACCTACAATGTGTCGAGTACTAAGCACTGCAGATACAAAAACAAAAATGTACAGTCCCTCTCCTTGAGGAGCTTCCACTCTATCAGGGAAGGCAATATGTGCATATAAAAATATATAACAAAAAATGGAAAACAAATTATTGTCAGGGGATGTAAGCAGACAAGGGGATCAGGAAAGGTTTCATTTAGAAGATGGTGTTTAAGCTGAATTATGAAGGAAAAAGGGAGTTTTAGAAGGCAGAAGCAGAGGAGAGGAGGCAGTATGTTCCAGCCACATTCAAAAGACAATACAACAACAAAGAAGATGAAGCCAAGAAAGCTAGGTCAGCTGAACTATCGAATTTAGGAAGGGTAGTCATATGTAACAAAGCTGGAAAATAGGTGGGGCAGGGAAGTGAAGAATATTAAATGATAAATAGAATAGTTTATATTTGATCTAGAGGCAACAGGGAGCCACTGGAATTTATTAAATGCAGTAGAAACATGGTCAAACCTGAACTCTGCAAAATCTAATTGGTAGTTGTGTGGAAGACAGACTGGAGAGGAAAAACACTTGAGTCAGGAAGACTAAATAGGAAACCATTGCAATAGTCCAAGTGAGACATGATGATGACCTGGATTGGGATAGTGACCCAAAATAGAGAGAAGGGGATAGATGTCAAAGATGTTTTTGAATTGAGACATGATAAGATTCGACAATTGATATTTAAGAAGAGTGGCAGGCTAGGGTGATGCTGAGGCTATAAATCAGAGTGATTGGAAGGATAATTAGAGCCCTCAAAAGAAACAAAGAAGTTAGGACAGGGTTGTTTGTATGTTTCAACTTTGAGAAAGAATAAAGTTGTAAGAATTATAATCTCAAACCCAGCTGGCTTTGTAAGGAAAGTTCTAGACCTACTCAATGTCAAAATGCAGCTTATTCAATAAGAGATATTTCAGTAGATAAGCTGGTCTTCCTTCCATTAAGGGCTAGCAACTTCAGTTACAATAAATGCAAATAAGTGTGTGATCTCTTAGTGAGATTAAATTCATGTGAACAAACTGAAAAGGGTTTTCCGCAAATAGTTCTCTTTGACTATCTCATTGTTAGCTAAATCTTTCAACATACTCACTATTACTATGATAACTGTAATCACATTGCAATTATGCATAATTAATGAATTCATGCTAGCGTATGTGCAGTGACCTTAGTCTCACCATGGAAGGTGCATTATGTTGCACTGACAGATTATAGGACCTAACTTTCTCTGAAATGTCTGCTAATAGGAATATGCTTTGGAAATAATGGTTGATATTTGAGGATTTATCAACTGGAAGGATTTTGAATTGACATAGTTGTCTAGTGAAGGAAAAAAGGGGGAGGTTCTTTCTCTTTCTGTTGAGCGCATATCCAGATATAGCAGAAGTTGCTTAAATTTCATGGCCATAGGTTTTCTCATTTATTGTGTGAGGCTGATGATAGGGTACTTACATGGATTTGTATAGCAGCAGTTGTTTGAATATAGTCTCTGTCTTGTTTGTCATCATAATGTTGACACACTTATCAACCAAGCCTTCACTGCAACTTTTGGGGACTCAGAAGATAAGAAATTCTCCAAAAACCATTTGGTGCCATAGGATCCCTCTCTCCTTCTTTGCAGATTTTTTTCACTTAAATAGAATTATTTAGAGGGTTTTGTTGGTTTGTTTTTGATCTGCAACTGTTGTTTCATTGATGCAGCTAGGTAGCACATTGGACCTGGAGTTAGAAAGACCTCAGTTCAAAGTCTGCCTCAGACACTCACTAGCTGTGTATCCCCGACAAAGTTACTTAACCTCTGTCTGCTTGTAAAATGGGGATAATAACAGAATCTACTTTATAGAGTTGTGAAGATAAAATGAGATATGTGTAATACACTTTTCAAACATTTAAGTGCCAATAGAATGCTAGATATTATTTATCATTGTAGGGAACTCCTCTTACCACTGCAGATCAGCAGCTTCTCTACAATTTTTAATCATAGGGAGTTTCCTGGGGCACTGAGTCATTAAGTAATTTGTCCTGGAGGACACAAATAGTTGTATCAGAGGTGAGAATTCAACAAGTTGGTCTTCCTGACTCTAATACCATTTCCCTATTAAGCCACATTGCCTCTAAAACACAGATGATGTTTACATACAATTTTATTTCTGAGCAATATGTGTGTATGTGCACATGTGTGCATGCTAGAGAAGTTGCATGTCACAGGGATAAGATTGGAGACAGGGAAAGTTTTCTCTGACATGTACAACTCTAA